GTGGTATTTTGAGCAGCTACAATTTTTACAAAGCCATGTCCAACTACGGCGAAGTATTACTAATGCATGCATGCAAATATTTTTGTAAATATGTATATGCAATGTGTGAAAATCTCGTTTTCATTTCAGATTAGTGAAGAGAGTTGTGATGAGTCTAGTAGCGCAGAAAATGAAAAAAAAACAAAGGCGAAAATATCCGATTTGGTAGCTGACATCAATAATATCAAGCATCTTATAACAGAAAAAAAACCAAAACCAAAATTCGACTGGATTGGAAAGCAAGTAAGCGAACAAATGGAAGAAATTGATGAAGAAGATCAGCCATATGCTGTTATGGAAATTCAAAGTATAATAAACAAGTACTGGCAGAAAGCAATTACAAAAAGAAAAGAACGTGCACTAAATTTCTCGCCATCGACCCCATCAAATAACTCGGGCAGAGACATTTTACAGGAGTCAATGCTTGGTGTATTTGATGAAGACGATTTTGAAACTTTTTAATGATGTCGACTTAACTTTAAAGATCTCGTGTGTCTTTTAACACTCAGAAATGCCAATTAACGAAATTTGTTTTGTTTTAAAACACAAGCTATGTATTTAATGTTAACCTTTTTTGCATGGTGGAATAATAAAAAGGTGTTGTGAGTAGCGACGTGTTTGTTGTGTTTTTGACAAGATCGGCATTCTTATTTTCAGTGCTGCCGATCTTAATTTTTATACTACTATTCGTTGGGAAATAGTATCTAAAATACTCCATTTTAGTAATTCGTTTTATCGCGATTTTTAAAGAACTTGGTGTTTTCAGAACAATATTAATATTTAAAATTGCTGGATTTGTATGATTTTTGTCCTAAAAAAGTAAAAAAATAAAAGATATCGTGGTTATCAATGGAAAAAAAACGTACACAAAAATCGCATTATATTAAATAACTTTTGCTGTATTGTCATAATATTGAGCCAAATGAACTACTGATACACTAGAATAGAGTGGCTGCATGGTTAAATTAGGAATTCGCTTATATTGCCGATATTTATGTGTTTTAATCTATTTAAAAAATCATTTACAGTCTTATAGAAAATTGCCTTATTTTACGGCTTTTACTTTTTTAAAGTTACAATATATGTCCAAGCTGTGTGGAGCTGCCGATACAAACATATATTCAGGCTTATAAGCCTGTAATTATACATTTTTCTACATTTAATTTGAAATAGTATGCACCAACGGATTAAAAGTAGTAAATAATTAGTACATTTTCTAGTACTTTAAAATGCGTGACCGGAATAGACCTGCCGAAAAAGTGAGGTTAAGTTACTGACAACACCTTGTTATTATTACACCATCCTTTTTTTGTTTTTTGTTAATGTTTTACTCTATACAAATAATGAAAAGGTTGCCAAAAGTTGTGGCAATTAAATTTTCTTGGATTTAATTTTTAATAGTTTGTTTAAAAGAATAATTTATAGTTTGGACATATCGTCCCCTTATGCCAAAAGCATGAATGTGCGCACACGGAAACCACAAAATTTTACAAGTTTAATTGCATGAACGTAGAGTTACGTCTTATCAAAAAAAAATTCCAACTTGATTTCTCAGCATTCTCATTTTTACACATTCATGTTTCTGGCGTAAGGGGAACGATATATGGTATCGTACACGTTTGAAGATAGCTTAAGGTGTGCTACAAAACTGCATATTCGAAATTTTAAAAGATTATATAAATTATTTAAAATTAAAGCAAAGAAAATTTAATCGTGATATTCTTTTTAAGACTATTGTCCTAAGAGAACTCTTTAATGGTTAGCTTAATGGTTTAGATTAATGGTTTAGCTTGAAAAGCATTGTAGATATTAAAAACGAAACACCATTCATCCATTTTTGACCGCCACTGCAAGTATATATACCTATACCATCAGGTATAGAAATAATCGTTTAATAAGGTATAGGTATAACCGTTAAGGTATAGAAATATTCCTTGTTTTGTTTACTAATCGATTTAATGTGAAAGATGTATATTTTTTTGTTTTTTAACTTTTTTATGTATAAAATAATCAGCGCTATCGCCAATTCCATGTGAACAAATTTTTCACAAGATTTTACAAGCAAAACACAAACAAATTGGGAAATTTTACTTTATAATTTTTGGCAAAAATTGTTCACGCGGAGTTCCCCATAAGGCCGAATAAACATTCAATAATCGAAAAGGAAATAGCCAAATAATGCTTAAATGTCTCATCACTATTTATTGGTGTGCCTAATACTTTTGGTCAAGGCTGTATATACAAATTATTAAAACTGTCGAATGTTCAAATTTATGTTTTTTTCAAAACTTTAGAACTAGTCATATGTTTATACAATTGAAATTTTATGTTAAATGACCTGAAATAAAACTTACACTAGTTTACAAATGTTTTGTTTGCTTTAGTTTCGTTTTTGTTGAATTGCAACTAATATGAGAGATCTTAAAATACAAAGTGTCAAAATTATAAACTCATCACATATTGCTAGACTGTCTCGCTTTGATTTCGGAATGCTTACACATTGAAAGTTAGCT